GACCGAGGCTTCGGTATATCCGTTTTCAAGATCTGAAATGAAATTGAAGCCTTGGGATTTTTTAAGTGCTTTCTCTAACTTGGTAATTTTGATCATGACTAGATCAATATCATTGATGTCAAAAAGAGGGAGTCCCCTATGGGGCTGTGCCAGAGGCCTACAAGTTGGAGCCGGTGCGAACATCTCTTGAGGATCCAGGAACTATGGATTTTCAATCAATGGTGGTGGATCATGATTTGGTTGGCCAGCCGGGACTGGATGCACGGTAGATGCTGATGCCCTAGATGGGCGTCACATGTCAGCGATAGTTTCGTCTTGAGCGGTTATCCTTTGATTTAAGGTATCCATAATTCTTTGGAAAGTTTCCATCATGGAGGCAACCTCTTCTGCACTCTATGCCATTACAGGCCTGGGAAAAATAGATGTTGGTGAACTGAGTGGGTGTGAACGGACAAGTGATTGTTGAGTGATTTGTGCTAGTGATGATAGCTGCATGTTTCTTTTTCGTTGAACAACTGATGGGTGAGAGACTAACACTGGCTGACTGGCAACAAGGTCTTGGGTTTTACAAAGTCTGCCAGAGCGAGGGGAAGGTCATGAATTGGGCACCCCTCTCACCCGATCAAAGATCGGCCTCTACTAATCATGATGTGATTTTTATTTACATTATATGCTCTTTTTCTGGTTATTATGCCATCTTTACTAGGTGATGCACACGAGTATAGACTATTTCGCAAAAATTCGAACGCTTTGATTTCATGTTTGTTGTGAAAAATGTTTCGAATATGTGCTTCTTGAAAAAATAGGCTCATATATACATTAATCAAATTATCCCTATTTAAGTGAAAAGGCCTTTCATCCGCCGGTACTCAAACAGGTATATCACTTAAGCACTTAGGCTCAAGGAAAATATGCTTTGAGATGGCAACAATCGCACGCATGCAGTATGCTAAAGCAAAAAAATGCTTACCCGAAACGACTAATGCAACACATGCAAAAATACAACTAATAGGTTGGGTTTATTTAACATGGCATATGAATCAATTTGATAGCATACAGTGAAGCACGTACTCAAATAATTAAGGGACAACCATAAAGTTAGAATGATTCATTAAACCAAATTCATGAAAAATGGATAATTAAGCGTAGTAATGTCATGGAAAATGTAAAACATGATGCTACCATTATAATGCAAGCAAATAAAAAGGAGAAAGAATAGGGGTTGGAAGACATACACAAATTATTACAATTTCGCCCTCTTGCAAGAGGGTCCGAATGTCCAAGTATCCAAGTTAACTACTTATTACAAATCCAAATGAATAAATAAGCTAGATTAACTAATTATTACAAGTTCAAATGAATCTAAGTAATTAATCACGACATACTACTATTAGAGCACTAATTTTACAACCCACGGGAAGTAAAGAAGAGCGCATGCATGAACGAGAATATCCACCCAAAAACACCTCTGTTTTGTTGCTAGAACTGTTCTATTCTGCAGTCAAAAAAATGATCTGTTTTATCCCCAGCCTCTACTCTGTTCTTCCATGAAAATGGCACTTCCTGTGTAAAATGAAGTGGCAGCCGACCAGAAAAAGTGGTCGGCTTTATTGTTAGGTGGCCGGTCGGCCACAATTTTGGAGGTCTACCCTACTGCAACAAAAAAATAAACAGAGCACAAACAAAGTACTTTCAGGAGATGTTTGTCCTCTCTGCCTCCCCCTATCATGAAACAGATCAAGGGAGGGGTAGACTTGATTCGCAAACCATCAATTGACGCAAATTCGTTGCGTGATAATCTATGAATCGACGGGGCAAAGTCTCAATAAAATGAAAGTAAAGACCAACGAAACCTCCTTCCTATCATGGAGTTACCTCAAGGGAAGTGGTAGACCTTGATTCCTCAACCGTTCTCATCACTAAAGAGTATGAAATGATTCAAGACTCAATGGGTTTAATTAATGTCTGATTGAACGCAAACCAATTTTATTACTCTTGCTTCTTTTAGTCCAATTTTATTGGCCTCTTTTAATTACCTTTCCATGCTTTAATCATTTAGTTCAAAAATGATAATTAAGTCCACTAATGAGGAGAAGTGTCAAACAAGGAGTTGTTCTTGGCATGAGAGAGATGTAATGCCTTGGTAATGAACCTCCGAAGAGATTAAACCATTAAGCATGGAAGGGTCTCTTTCGCATGCCTTAAACAACACTTGTTTAAAACAACTCTCAAACAAATAAAACCAAAAAAAGAGGGAGAGTGCAGAGGTGGTTATTGCAAGTGTGAACATATGTATGAAAAGCATAAAAATAAAAACTATCAACCCAAGTAAGTTGGTGTCCAAGGCCTAAACCACCAAACTTATGAGGACTGCAACACAACAAGCATATTATACAAAGCATGAATGAAGTAAACACATTAAAACAGTCCTAAAACTCATGAAACCATTGCTGGAATTAACATGAAAAGGCTAAAAAAAGTTAACTAAGATAATAGGGAAATGAAGCTAGCCTAAGGAAAGGTGGCCAACACCTCCATTTTTGGGACTTCAAAGCCTCATTTTTAGCCTCTGAAAACCTTTGAAAAACAGTGGTAAAAAGCTAGAAAAAAAGTTGAGAAAGAAATAGGAAACACAAAGGCAAAAGCTTAAGAAATAAGGTTCAAAGAATGGTGGTTAACCACTCCACCTTTGATAGCTTTAAGCCACAAGTTTCAGCCATAAAAATAGTGTAAAAATAGTACAAAAACAGCAAGAAAAGATAGAGGAGAAGTAGTGTAAGAAAGGCCAAGGTTATATCTCTTGAAGATAAGTAACTCTTTGATTCACAAACCCACAAGTAAGCACCCTCAAAAGCTGAAATTTAAACTCAAGAATCTCAACAATGAGAGCTAAAAAATTGGTTTAGGAAGTATATGTAAGGTGTATATAGGTTACAAGAAAGAGAGAGAAATGGAGAGAGAGAGAGAGATATTTTCAAGAATTTGAGCTTTTGGAATTTTTTCTAACCTAAAAACATAAGGTATGGCCAAGTATATATAGAAGAACTAGTGCCTCAGTCAGAAATATCCATATTGAGCAAGCTGGTGTAGTGCATGCACATGGGGAAATAGCTAGCAGCCGAGAAAACTGGTCGGCCGACCAGGTGGGGGACAGTCGGCCACTAACTTCTGGCCAGTCATCATCGGGTGATGAACCTGAGGTGCCCAAGTCTTAAGGGCGGTCAAAAATGGGGTGTCTATAGGCCTCTTTTATTCATGGAATTCAAATTCCATCACCGCTCTTGGTACATCTTTGATCACCGCGTAATGGATTGATGACCTATATAAAAACATTGTACTTTTAATGCTATATTGCAAAATGGGATTCAAATCCTCTCGATCTCATGGATGGAATGAAAATTTCTATTTCAATCGAGACACATCATTTGTTCAAGATGCAACAGATGACGCTAACGCACTTGGGATTCCTAAAACCAACCAATACTAAGTTGTTTTGGAATTTTTGATCCTCTTTGTTTCATAGATTAAATGAAGATCTCACTATTGAATGCAATGAACAGCTTCATCCAATGAAATTTGAGATGACTTCAAATTAGAAGCAATAAACTTAACTCATTTAATTACCGTCCATTTGATTTTTTTCTTAAATTTGTTTATATTTACAAATAAATTTAAATAAATTACATCTTACAAATTTAATTAAATTTAGATTTAAGTAGGCTGGATATGAATACTTATTTAAACTCATTCAAATTTAAATGGAAGGGGTAAAGAGAAAGAATATTTGATGTTTATTAGGCACTCATATCAAAGGTCTATTTCTGTACCTTTTTGTCCAAAAAGATATTATATGTCCAAACAAATATCTATTTGTTTAAAGTTTACCTATCTATCTATCTGTTCAAATTTCATCTATGTGTACACATGTCACTATTATGTCCATCTATTTGTCCAAATGTCACTTATCTATACACATGTCACCTATTTGTTCCATCCCATTCATTTCTCTACCTCACTACCACCAGCCGTTGCTATTGGCATTGCTGGTGACTTTTTGATGAAATTTTTGGTAACTTTTCAATGTTTATCCTTTTTACCAAAAAGACACTACAAAAAATTAAGGTTTTGGAGACCAAAATTTAGAGACAATTATTTTTTTAAGGACCAAATATTTTTGTTACGAAAAATATTGTTATTATATTTTTAATAACAAAATTAGACATTAATGATGAATTATTATCTATTTGGGACCAAATTTTGTCTCAAAAAATAAACCATTTTGAGACCAAATTATTTTGTCCCTAAAAGTCTCTTTATTAGTGACATTTTCAAAATTTTGTCACTAAAAGCTTTATTTTTGACTTTTCAGGACGACTTTTTAACTACTATCCTCGTGATGATAGAAATTGGTTCCTAAATGTCTTTTATAACAAAAATTTTTACTTTTAGAGACCAAAACATTTGGTCTCTAAAACTCTTATATGCTGTAGTGAAAGATTAAGCTTTAGACCAAATAACATATGACTCTATATGAGTGGACTGTTCACCAATTAACCCATGTTTATTTATAGTCACCCATAAAAGAATGCACACTCAGGCCAATGTCCATTTCTGAAACATTTGGGCTAATAAGCTCAAGCTTAAAATTTTTTTGGCCAAAATGACATCATCTGTCCAAAAGGACACATATCTGTCTATTTGTTAAATGTCACCTATCTATTTATCTATCTATCTATCTATCTATCTATCTATCTATCCAATTATTTGTTCAAATTTCCAACTATCTATATATGTGTCACTTATCTATCTAATGTCACTTATTTGCCTCTGTCACTGCCACTAGCCGGCAGCAGCGGCCATTGGCAACTTTTCTAACCAATTTTCAACGAGTGTTAATACCACTAAAAAATATTAAACTTTGAAACAAATAACATATGGCCACACAAGAATAGACTTTTCACCAACTAACCTAGAAAGAATAATGTTAAAACTAGCAACATTCACTGATGAAAAATAATTGCCTCATACTGTTTTCTTGAGACTGCAATATGGAAGACAATATTGTTGCCAGTGTGTTTGTCCTTCATATTAAGGACATCCTTCTTGTTGAATTGCTTGAGATGTTCCACCAAAACTTTGAAAGCTTCAAACTGGTTGTTATTCACAGCCAGGTGAAGAGTTGTCTCTCCTCTCACCATCACATCTTCGACAGGATCTGCGTAAATCGAAAGCAATTCTCTTATGACAAGAACTATGCCTTTGATCACCGCGTAATGGAAGGGTATCCTTTCCTCTCTTCTCTTGAGCTTATACACTCTTGTCTACTTTCAACAATTCCTTGACAACCTTGATATCTCAATTAGTCAACACAATATGCAAGGAGCTAAAACCATCTCAGTTCAATTCAACAACAAATTCTTTCACCAACACCAGGCCCACAGGCTACCTAGCCCATAATTGGTAGAAGTTGAAATGCCCACAAGCTTCCTTGAGCATTGCTCTTCTACTACCAAATATTATATATATCCAGTTGAAGTGGTATAGATAATTGTGAGACAATCAAAAGAAATATAATCATTTCCATAAAAAATTAAGTCAGTAAAACTATTTTTTCTCTTTATTTCTTTGTTAAGAGAAAATGAATTTGTTCACACACTACATGGATTATATTTGATTCAAAATAGTGGATTTCATATTCAAAAATATATTGATCTCACTCAAAATTTCAGATTTCATTATTTTAAAATCGAACTCTTTGTTAGGATGGATAAGTTTCAACCACTTTCTAAATTATTGTCCTCTTATTTTATTTTATTTTTTTTATCATTTTTATGTTCTTCTTTTAACCCGTTTTTTAAGATTGTGTTAGTTTTATTTTTTAGATTATAAATGTCTAATAGAAAATATGAATTCCAAACCTTTACCAAAAAAAAAAAAAAAAAAAGCAATCTAAAAAAATATCCATACATAAATTTGTTACTAACAACAAATCCTAGAACCAAATAAAAGTAAATTTAATTAATTATTAAAAATTATAATTACTCCCTCCGTCCCAAAATATTAGTCCCCTATTCCATTTTTCATTGTCCCAAAATATTAGTCCCTCTTCAAAAATCAAGTACAAAAATAATGTGAATTTCCTATTTTGCCCTTCTTTTAAATTAATAAACAATGTAAAAAGTACAATTATGACATTGATATTCCCAAAAAATGTACTATCAAAAGGGTAATTTTGGAAAATTAACTTTTTTCAAATACAATAATTGTACTACCAAAAAAAGTTGGATTCCCCAAAAGGGACCATTATTTTGGGACGGAGGGAGTAATATTTAAATGTTAAAAGCCTCTCTTCAATATTTTGCCTAAGGCCACAAAAAGGATGGGGCCTCCCCTGGCTTTCTCTCATTCCATCCACCTATTGAATATCAAATGGTCATCTTTTATCAAGTAAAGCAACTAACACTGCAAGAAAAGTGGGCTTAAAAGACAGAACTCTTTGTGACAGCACAACTGCTGTCGCAAAAAATAGAGTATTTATGACAGCAGAAAATGTTATCGCGAAAAATAGAGGTTTTGCGAAGGCACCAGCAGTCCCAAAAAAAAAAAAAAAAAAAAAGAAAAAGTTTTTTGCGACTGTAATAGGTACCGTTGCAAAAAAAAAAAGTGATATATATATATATATATATTGTGGCTTTGAGACGGATTCATATATATATATTTACAAAATTGTTTAAATAAATGCAACGGTATTTTTCTGTCACAAAAAAAAAACGGCGTCGTCTTACTCTTTTGATATAACATTTCTCTTTTCACACATTTTTTCATCTTCATGTCTCTCTGTCTCTATCTCTCTTCTCTTTCTCTCTCTTTCTCTCTGTGTCTCTGTCTCTCTTCTTTTTCTCTCTCTCACTCAACACTCTTCTCTGTCTGTCTGTCTCTCTCTTTCTCTCTCTCACTCATCACTCTTCTCTGTTGTCTCTCTCTCTCTCTCTCTCTCTCTCTTCCTCTCTATGTCGCTCGTCTATCTCTCTTCTCTCTCTTCTCTTTATCTCTCTCGTTCATCTTTCTCTGTCCCTCTCTCGTTTATTTCTTTTTACTCTCTTTCTTTCTCTCTCTCTCTTTTCACCCATTTTTTCATCTTCCTCTCTCTCTCTTCTCTTTCTTTCTCTCTCTCTCACTTATCACCCTTCTCTCTCTGTCTGTCTGTCTGTCTATCTGTCTCTCTCTTTCTATGTGTGCCTCTCACTCATCTATCTCTTCTCTCATCTCTTTTCTTTTTCTGTCTCTTTCACTCATCTCTCTTCTCTCTATCTCTCTCATTTCTCTTCTCTCTCTGTCTCTCTTGCTCATATCTCCTCTCTCTATCTCTTTCGTTCATCTCTTTTCTCTCTCTATCTCTTTTTCTGTCTCTCACTCTCTATCTCTTTCTCTCTTTGCCTCTCTCTCTCTTTTCCCTTTCTCTCTCTTACTCATTACTCTTCTCTATATGTCTGTCTTTGTCTCTCGCTCATCTCTCTTCTCTTTATCTCTCGTATCTCTCTTCTTTCTCTATCTCTCTCGCTCATCTCTCTTTTTTTATCTCTTTGTGTCTCTCTCGCTCATCTTTCTTCTCTTTCTGTCTCTCTTTTTTTTCTACCTTTCTCTCGATCATCTCTTTTTGCTCTCTTTGTTTATCTCTCGCTCATCTCTTGTTTCTCTCTCTTTTTCTGTCTGTCTGTCTCTCTATCTTTTTCTCTCTGTCTCTCTCTCTCTGTCTCTCTGTGTCTGTCTATCTGTCTGTCTCGCACTCTTCTATCTCTCACTTTCTCTCTTTATGTCTGTATGTCTGTCTTTCTCCCCCATTGTGTTCACCTTGCTCACTCTCTCCATCTGCTCTTCTCTATTTACCGAGCTCTCCACTATAAGAAAATACACTTTTAGCAATCACTTTGTCGCTCTTTCGCTCATCACTCTGTCTCTGTCTCTGTCTCTGTCTCTCTCTCTATCTCTCTTTTCTATCTGTCTCTTACTCATCTCTCTCTTACCACCCATCTCCTCTACCACCTTCACCACTACTGCAAATGTCATTCCACTACCACCATTATTACCATTATTGCCACTCCAACTCTACGACCACCATTACTAACACCATCACTATCACTCCACTACCACTACCACCACTGCTACTATTACCTCTCCTCTACCATCGCCACTCCATCTTCTCTACCACTACCACAACTTCACCACTAATCTCCTTCGTCATCATCACCACCACCACAATCACCTCTTATCCACCACCTTCACCACTACTGCCGCCCCCTCTCCTCTACCACAAAAAATTAGCTCTTGATTTTTAGTAACAAAAAAAAAAAGGCCACAAAAAAATATTTTTCATTGCCCATAAAAAATTAACTTTATTTTAACGGAAAATATTTTTCATTAAAATATTACCCCTACTTCTACCAAATAAAAAATATCATTAAAATAAAAATAAAACAAATTTCCCTCATTTTTCACTGACTCACCCAACCCGCCCTGCCCGCCCAAACTTTATTTCCCCCTTTTTTTCCTTCCGTCTTTCCCCCCTTTTCTTTTTCATTTCCTTTCAGGTTTGTAGAGCCCTAAGTTTCGAAACAACACACACACACACACACACACACACACACTCTCTCTCTCTCTCTCTTTCTCTCTCTCTCTCTCTCTCTCTCTCTCTCTCTCTCGCAAACGGAGGCAAGCAGCGATCGGCGACAGTGGTGGCCAGCGACGATCGGCGATTGGCGACAATGGCGACAAACAGCAATCGAATCATCAATTCGAAGGTACTCTTTTTAATTTATCACAAAACTATTCTCAAATTGTTCCTTTATGCTTGCCAATGATCTTTATTCACTTGTTTAATGTTTACACAAATGGGTTTTTGTTTGTACGGTCTGGGGTCTTGTGATTCTTGGGTTTTAATCTATATATAATATTCCGTGGTTTGTTCTTTTATTCAATTCTGTAATGTTTACAGAAATGGGTTTTTGGTTGTACAATCTTAGGTCTTGTGATTCTTGGGTTTCATTCTATATATAATATTATGTGGTTGTTTGTTCTTGGTATTATAGTGGAATAGTAGAGAGATAAAGGGTAATTGAAATCCCCAAAAATTCTTCAAAAAAGATTCATAATCTTATTGGATGTGATCGACCAAGCCTAACTAAACCCTGTGCCCCCAATCAAGCGAGGTTGGATACATAAATATTTTTGCACCATTTTGCAACGTGTAGCAGTCTTTTTCCCCTCATATCTCTGTATAGTAAGAATTTCAAGATGTTCGCAGTTGGGTTATTCGGTGATATTGTCTTGTCTGGTTGATACAATTAGAACCAACTCAATTTCTTACTGGGGAACTTACTTAATGCATTAATATGGCATACTCTTAACAATTTTATGTGACTCTATAGTTGCCTAGTTACTAGTAAAGTACTTGCTCATTTGAAATTCATTCATCAGTAAATGTGAAATATCGATACCTTTTTTCTATAATCCCTAAATTGACCCGTGCATCGATAGATCTTATGGTGACAAAGGAAGGAAATGGTAGTGTGTAGACATTGAGATACAGAGACTTGTAATTCGCTCGATTGATGCTTTCTTGATTGTATTTCTGCGGAGGCAAACACAATATTGCAGCATCCACTTGTAAAGGTATGTCACAAACACAATATCCATTTGAAAAAATCTTCAAGAAAAAATATATAAGCTCAGAGACATATAAAATTAGGTTATTTATCTTTGCATCTGATTATATTGATTCTATGTTAAGTGAGCACTTCTGATTGTTAGCCATTGTCATTGCATTACATTTCCAGGATGCCATTGCTGATATGGTTAGGGCATTGGAAGGCATTTTTCAATTAAAAAATGAAGCCATGTAGAGTTTGGCACCAAATGTGACTGTAAAGATGGTCAACATTTTGTCCAATTCAATACTACAATCTCATGTGTTAGACCATGTTTGTCATTTGACATCATTAGAGAGGAGAAGAATACCTTCATAATAATTATTCATAATAATTTTCAAACATTCATAACAAAACTATAATACCACTTTGTAACTATTTCAATTGAGGAAATTATTATTTCTAATAATCTCCACCATTTTTGGGGGCTTACATAGACATATATGAAGTAATGAGAGAATTAGAAAAGAAAAAAAAAATTGAAGTAGAAGCAAATAATGTGGAGCAGTTA